TATACGTGAGGGAAGATGGGGGTCATAGCAGGCACAAAATTCACACCTTTCTTCACGCGGGTGTGAAAGAGCGCCCCGCTGAGTACTCTGTAGGCTGGATCTTAACGCTTACGTTTTTACCCCTCTGAAACACAGTCTCCATGTCAACGGGAGGTAGCAACCGACATCCAACTGTAGCGTTTTACTGCCGCAGTGTCTCCGTCTAAACAAATATAAAATATACGTTTGACTAATATATTTTATATTCGCAGAGGGAAAATTGCATAATTATTGAATTAGTACAATATAACATGCAGTGATCAATAATATTGCTCAATATCGGCATGGATAGGAAAAAAATGTAAAGCCAAACAATTATAAATCTCAAAAGAAGTGACAGGCTACGTTAAATCAGAGTTTTTTCCTCTTTTTTTGTAACATTACTTCAGTAATACACTTTGGCTTCCATTTTTTCCACCAGTTAGCATTATATAGTGCTGAATGAACAATCCCACACGCGTTTTGTGATTTTGGATTTAATCTTCATAATGAAAGACAAAGTGCACACGGCCAAAGATGTGTGGGCAACTACAGTAGCAAACTACAGTATGGCTACAAAAACAGTGCAGTATAAGCTGGTTTCCTTTAGACGGCTCAGTGAAAGGTTAGCACTTTAAAATGTCACAGCATGACTTTCCATCTTAATTTCCCATTTCCTGCGGATGCCCTCCTCTGTTTGCTTGTGTTGTGAAGCCTTATTAAATGCTTGAAGAGTCATGGGGATTTTCCATTGACACAAATATACAGTTCTTGACCACAACAGGAGGTGAGGCCGAGGCCACTCAGGCAGAGGAGAGCAGCTCTACAGACCTTCATATATGACATTTACAAAGGTCAAGCCTAGGTGCACAACCTGATTCAACAGTGTAAGTGTTAATGGGCAAAGAAATGCGCTAATTTACAATCAAATATCTATAGGACTCGAACAGAGTTCTGTAGGTTGTTAGGCATGGTGGAGGAGGGTGGGGATTCGGTTTTGAGTATGTGTGTGTGCAAAAACGTATGCAAATTGGAAAAATGATGGGATGTTATTGGCGGGGTATGTGCTGTCAGAGTATGTTGTATTTAGAAAAAGTTGTATGCAGCTCAGTTTCATTTGATTGGGAAGGCACTTGTAGAAGTGACGATAGCTTAGCCAAAAACTGAAAAGTGTATGGAGGATCAAAACTTCCAAAATAATATTAATAAATAATTATAGAAGATAAAGTAAGAGATCCTTTATTTGTTCCACAGCGGGGAAAACAAGAATTAACAAATACATGAATTTTAAATGCTTAAAAATGTGTTAATTGTAATTAATCGCTTTTCAAACTATCGCCAAAATTTTGTCATATTTTTCTGTAAATGGTTGTTTGAATGGAAAGATAAATGACAACATATGTACTGTATTTGTTTATTATTACAATCAATCCACACAAAATGACCTTAACATTATTAACATTCTGTCTTTCTGTAGTAGACAGTATTTTTTCAGCTCGACATATTCCGCTTCAGCTAAAGCCTCCTCTTTCTTTTCGTTCTCTGTCTCATAAAGGCTGTGGATCCTATTCATTATTGTGCCTCTTGCTGGTGGCTTGTAGGATGGGTCGAGGGACGCTACTCTCAATGTTTTAGCGAGACCCTTGTCTTCAACTTTGCTAATCGGTCCATGCCTGGACTTGGACCAAAAAACGGTCTGGGCATTTTTTCCTTCTTGACGGCCCAGGCGTTGTTGTTTTTTTCATGTTCTTTTCAAGGTTATTTATATGGTATGTGGAAGCACACACTGTAGAGGATGTATGTAGTTTCAACAATCGAAATAAAGCGCAATACGTTGCAAGAGAGTAATAAACATGTCTCAGACTGAGGAAGATGGACACAGACCAAAACTATTGTTACAGGGATGGGAATGGCACATTTCAAAAAAGTCTGAAATGCATAATAGCAGCCAACGGCTGTCATTAAATCTGTTTGATTTGCTCACAACATCTTACTTTTGGGCACAACCAACATGAACTGGTTTTGCAAGGGAAAAACTAGGTACCCCAGCTTTAATTTAGCGAGTTTATGAGACATGGACACTTTCTGAGGCTCCCCAGTCCAGCTTCAGCGATGTATTGCATGCACAGATTACGCAAAGACATGCACACAACAAACAGACAATAGTTCTGTGGCGTGTATGGGCTTGGATATGATGACGTTACGACGACGGGTCATTTGGCACATGCATTTAATGTGTTTATTTTTTTATTGCTAATAATGAACACATTTAATTGACATGCGTTAACACGCAATTTTTTTCAGCCCTAGTATATGGACAGGACATCGAAGTGGTACTGTCATTCAAAAAGGAGTCCAACTGGACCACAGAGTGGACTGGTCAGCACAGGCCAATGCTGTCAGAAAGGTCAGAGCAGACTCTTCTTCCTGAGAAGACTGAGGTGGAGCAGGATGGGTCACAGCAGCAGAGATGGTTGAGCCTCTGGATGTAGCAGGACGGGTCAAAGCAGCAGAGGTGGAGCCGCTTGGTTCGGACCATTTTCTCTGGTCCAAAGTAAAATGCTTAATGCTTTGTAAGTATTTTTCAAAAAGTTAGCCCTTCTTCAGTAGATTTTTGGCTGACCCGCTTGTATTGGACCATGAATCCTCCCTGCTCCGGTCTGGACCAGTGCAAAACCATGAACACTGTACTGCAGCAAAGTTTTAGGTATATAACAGCAAGAAAAATAACAATTGTAAAGCACAAAGAGCACGTTTAAGCAACAACAAGGCATAGTATTTGTTCTATAAAAGCAAGTTAATGGATAAGTTATGCTCACTTATTTATTGTTTTTCTTTAAAGCACTGATGCAGTGTTAGAGGAGAATGGGTGCCAACCCACCAGACTGAGGATAATCCTGGAGGGAAAGAAGACTACAATAAGTCCTCTTGAGGGCTCATTAGATTCTTTCTGAGTGTTGTTCTGTTTGGAGAAAAAAAGAAGCGCAATGCTTCTCTGGTGTTGACACTGAGAAGGTGGGTCAGGAATCCAGATTTTTACATGGAACCATTAATGCTCTGCAAGTTGGAATGATGTCTGTTTTAGGATGGTGAAAAGCTGTGGCTACTTATTGTAAATTTATAAACGAGAGCTTGATTAAAAGTGGTGCTTGTACAGGTTTTTTAATTTTGAAAACAATTATTTACATTTAAGAAATTATCAATTCTGCATGTTCCAGCTCCATGCAGCGTTGTGTTTTTTATGCCACATGTGCTCCTGCTTGTCTCTCGCTCTACACAGAACACACACAGCAGCCCTGGTGCACTTTGTCCCATGCCGATGTTTGTGTCAAAAGGGACCACCTGCTCAGGGGGGTATACTTACAGCTCAGACAAAAGTCCTCATCCCGCCTCGGCTGATCTCGAGTCTGATTCACCCGTAGACAAGGGGTTGCTTCCTCTCCACAAAGTAGCAACTGTGAAGTGAAAGCAAAATGATACATGACACACACACACACACACACATTATATATATATATATATATATATATATATATATATATATATATATATATATATATATATATATATATATATATATATATATATATATATATATATATATATATGTACAGTGGGGCAAAAAAGTATTTAGTCAGCCACCAATTGTGCAAGTTCTCCCACTTAAAATTAAGACAGAGGTCTGTAATTTTCATCATAGGTACACTTCAACTGTGAGAGAGAGAATGTGAAAAAAAAATCCATTGTAAAAATCCAATTCCAAAAAAAAAGAATGTGACCAAAAAATAAGTATTTGGTCACTTCAAACAAGGAAGATCTCTGGCTCTCACAGACCTGTAACTTATTCTTTAAGAAGCTCTTCTGTCCTCCACTCGGTTACCTGTTTTAATGGCACCGGTTTGAACTCGTTATCTGTATAAAAGACACTTGTCCACAGCCTCAAACAGACTCCAAACTCCACTATGGCCAAGACCAAAGAGCTGTCGAAGGACACCAGGAAAAGAATTGTAGACCTGCACCAGACTGGAAAGAGTGAATCTACAATAGACGCGTGGGGTCAAAATGATCATGAGAACGGTGATCAAAAATCCCAGAACCACACGGGGGGACCTGGTGAATGACCTGCAGAGAGCTGGGACCAAAGTAACAAAGGTTACCATCAGTAACACACTACAACGACAGGGAATCAAATCCAAACAGGTGAAAACAAAACAAAATCCAAACAGAAACTCAGGTATGGAGGATTGAAAGTGCCACAATTAAATAAATAAATACACCATTAAATAATTAAATACATGTGTCATTAATTAATTAAATGTTTCATTAATTAATTAAATATGGAATTAAATAAATAAATGCACCATTAAATAATTAAATAAATGTGTCATTAATTAAATAAATGTGCCATTAATTAAATAAATGTGTCATTAATTAATTAAATTACCAATGATTCTGTGTAAAAAAAATATATATATATTTATATATTTAATTAATTATTTCATGGTCCTGTGTTGCAGTGTTTCATGAATTAATTTTATCTGTCAAACTCGCCCATCAAAAGTTGTGGGCGGGCTAAAGCCTGGTTTACTCAAATCTTGTCTAATCCATTGCTTTGACCTGAAGTGTTTTTTGGAAACATGGCGGCTACGCTGATGGAGGACTTTCATGAAGTTTCAAGGGAGTTGGTGCGAGATATTTTAGACCTTGCTGAGTATGTGGAAGCAGGACCTGCAGACCCCGAGCATATACAGAATAAAGCGGAGGAATTTATTGAAGTTCTTGGAGTTATTTCTGCACTTTCTGACCATGGCATTGACCGTAGAGTGACCGAAATTTTAGAAGAAGTACGCTACAGCTTCACTGGTACCCGGGCACAACAGGCAAAACACACAGAGGGACCAGGGCGTTTGGCGTTTGATATACCCAGTGCAGTTCTGGAGCATCACATTCTTTGTGGATTACCAGCAAGTCAAATTGCAGCGATGTTCGGAGTGTCAAAAAGGACCATCAGGAGACGCATGAGGCAAAGTGGTTTGAGGTATGTACACTACATTAATGAGTTTTCAGTTTATGAATTCTGTTTAACAGAACATTGGTGTAACATTTATCATTGTTGTATTTTGTTTGCAGAAAAAGAGACCTCTATTCAGCTGTGAATGATGAGGAGTTGGACCGCATTGTAAGTGAAGTCCACAGAAGACATCCAAACGACGGCTACAAGTTAATGCGTGGTCATTTGAATGCAAGAGGTGTGCGTGTTCCAAGTGAGTATAATGATATGGTGTAATTTAGGTTAGCAATTTGTTAAGTCTCTTTCATAACATGAAATTAACTTTTTTGGTTATGCTGTAGTGTAGTACTTTTACACGCATTGTTTTTTTATTATAATACGACTATTTCTTCAAAATAAGTGACACCACAGGAAACTGCCAGTGAGAGTATGGTTATTTTATTTTCTTCCCCTCAGTCTCAAGACTGCAAGAGTCTTTACGCAGAGTCGATGCAGAGGGAGTTCACCTGAGACGTCTAAGGTTGCGCGTATTAAGACGACGGCAGTATTCTGTTCCTGGCCCAAACTCTTTGTGGCATATAGATGGGCACCATAAGCTTATCAGGTCGGTAATGTTGGCAGAGAATCGGTGCATCTAATCAGAAGTGCTTTACAAAAATAATGTGTGTGTTCACATTGTCTGACAGGTGGAGATTTGTTGTCCATGGTGGGGTGGATGGATTCAGTCGTTTAGTGGTCTACCTGACTGTGGCTGGCAATAATAGAGCTTGCACAGTCTTACAAAGTTTTTTTGCTGCTGTTGAGCAGTATGGGCTACCTTCAAGGGTACGGTCTGATAAAGGGGGAGAGAATGCAGATGTGGCAGAATTCATGATCAGGAGCAGAGGTACTGACAGGAATTCACACATCACAGGCAGAAGCGTCCATAACCAACGGTAAATAAATGTTTGGCTCACACAACAAGCACACCATATGAATGTACTTTTTTAGCATATGCCACACATAAATTAACACCTTTGTCAATTTGATCCAAAACACAGAATAGAAAGGATGTGGAGGGACGTTTATGAACATGCACTGGACCTCTTCTATCAGATCTTCACTTCATTGGAATATCAGGGAACACTGAATCCAGACAATGAAGTCCATCTTTTTGCCCTGCACTGGATCTTCCTTCCACTAATCCAGCAAAGCCTCAACTCTTTCCGAGATGCTTGGAACTTTCATGGTCTTAGAACTGAAAGGAATCAATCACCACAGCAACTCTGGAGGAGATACAGAGAGCAAGGCCCTATGGAGGATCCTATTGAGGTTAAAGAAAAATATACACCTTTTCATCCCCAAATTACAAAGAGACTTGAAAGTATTGATAGGCTAAACGAGCCACGGTATCAACACATGTATCATACGCAGTAAGCGTGCACGTGTCATTTTAAGAAAAGTCACATGAACAGATTCACTATCAGTTCGTCTCACACGCAACTAGCAGCAGTATGCAAGGGTCACCAGTTCAATGGAGCAACCAGACTATCGGATCACTAATTTTCTCATTTGAATCTGCCACAAACAACTCTTGCTGTCACAGCACTTTGTATTTCATTTGTAATTTCACCATTTTATCTTGATTGGGGACTCTATTTTGGATCGTGTGGTCTGTGGTACTTTAATGTAGACTTTCATACATTAGTTTTGTCAGGAATTAGAATCATAAAGTTTCCATTTTCATAATCCTCAGGACAGTTACCTTTTACTCAGTATGGCCAATATGGTGGTGCTAATGAGCTGGTTAAACAAGCTTATTCATGTCAATTTGGTTCACGTTTCCTGAAACTACTTGAAATAAAATGCAAGAATCCAAGGTTAGTGCCTTCACAAAAAAGAGACCAACGTCTTATAGATTATATAGCTGTAGTTACAATGGTGCATACAATGCATACCTGTACTGTTACAAACTGAATTGGACAATCTAAAATACGTCATGTCACCAGTTTTAAGTACACAATTGATCATGCTTCTTGTCCTTTCAGGTTTATGAAGGCTATGGGATTGACTGGAACGGACCTCACGCTCTTCATGGAGGCACCGTGTCAGTCCCGGAGATTGAACTGGCTCGTGAACTCTCAGATGAAGAAGTAGCCATTTTGCCAGCTCCAGGAGTTTCTATAACTGAAGCACTCAGATCATATGTAGAGACTGTGCAGGTTTTAGAAAGAGTCTTAGACTGATGTCCAACCTATGCTTTTATTTAGCATTATAGAACAGGCATGAACTGAAAGTTCTTTTCATGGCAAAAAAGTAGTACAAGTGTTTTACTTTGAAGCTATGCCATAAACTGCACAGCTCCCCTACTCTTGAACATACTTTACCTCCTGTCTCATTGAACACAGAATGATTAACATCAATGTTGTTCTGTTAACACGGACAGCCAAAGATACACCACTGTTTTTTTCTGTAAAATGTGTAAAAACATGTCAAATGCTGCACAGTATAAACTTTTTTTTCCACATACTGCATTTGTGTCAATTGAACTGAACAGTGCATTTAATAACTGTCTGAAAAAAGACTAAACAAGTCCAAATCCAGTCCGAGCACTATTTATGGCAGCCAGAAGCGCTTCCTCAAATTCAGTGTAGATTTTGAAATGAGCAGGCAGCTTTAGTGTTTCAAAGCATGTGGCAGACGTGGAAAGTTTCCCACAGAAACCTCCACTTTTAGTTCAGAAGGAAGCCTCTCCCAGCCAACCCAGAATGTCAGCAGCTGGGCCAGTGTGTCTGATGAGCTGAAAGTCAAAATGGATTCAAGATGACATTAAGTTAAACTTTAATTGATCATATCTAATCAATGACACAAAAGCATTTGCTAGTAGAGCAAAACATAACAAGGTGTTATACCAGTTTCAATGAACATTCTTAAAAAGCCAGTGATGCGGCGGCATATGGACTCTATGTCAAAGTCTTCATCACTGTCCTCAACCGGCCATATGATTCTTTCCAGGAGCATCTTAAAGAATCATATCAAAGTATTTTAAATGGAGAAACTTATTTGGCTTCATTCTTGGTCAATGGAAAAATAACCAGTTCAATACATGTAAATTAATTAAGTAAAGAAAAAATATAACTAAATTTCTGACTTACCTGGGGTGTAAACTGTATTTCAGCCATTTTGGGGAAAAGAAGTGGGACAATATCTGGCCTAGATGTCAGCAAGGGCCATAGCATAACATCTTTCAGTCCCTTTCTCAACTGTTGAATTTGGCGCATAGTCCTCCCAATCACCTAAGAGACAGACCAGAACTATAACACAAGCCAAATGCTCAACCAATTTTGGGGGGGAAATGTTCATAAAAGTAAAATTATTATGTTAATATAATTAATTAAGAATATATCAACCGATAAGACATTTACACATTTTTAAATAATGTGCCCCAATATTCAGATAGTTCTTTTCCACCCTGCAACTCACTGAATGAATTAGAAGTTTGCTATGCAGCCATCTCCGATTTGTTTTTGTGACAGCTGGGAGATCCCAAGACATGGAGAGTTCTGACACAGTGTTCTTCTGTTCTGGTGTAAGTTCTTCATGTTCAAGCTAAACTCGAGACCATATACGTTATTACATTTTACAAGGCAAATATTTATTTGTTACATACCAGTTGAATGATACTCCTGATGTGCAGATCAGGACAGTCTTCAGTAACAACTGTTGCCGTTTCAGGGTCTCCATTGAACAGTACATGAATTACAGCAGGACTTAATCCTGTGATGTTGGGTCCGTCATGCAGGAAACTGTGGGCCAACATCCTTCCTGCAACGCGGAAGAGGTTGCTGTCAATAAGCACCTCTGATGCTGCTGGAACGAGGTGGTCAGGTTCACCCTCAAACAGTAATGTACCCCCATTCCTCCTGTTAAGAACACAGAGTAGTCACAATTAACCACCGAACTGCATTTCAAATTACATCATATTAACCATAAAAATAAACAGGAACTTGCCAAGATTTAGACAAAATCCAAACTGGAGTTTGGAAATTACTGTTGTCATAAAGTGCCGCATTACTCCCTCTCCAATAGCAACATCACCTATAAATATAATACTGACAATAACACAGTGGTAAAACAGTGGCTGAATGATGCAGGTAACTGGACAAGTAACATTTAACAGGCAAGGCAACAAGTCCAGCTCCAAAACAGAAAAATTAGTGATCATCAATTATACACTTTTTTTTTTGGATTTCATTCTCCCATTGAACAATTCCATATGATACTTTAATTATATAAAGCATGCATTTGTAGTTTCTGTGTTCCACATTGTTTTTCTGGATAATTTTGTACGTCTGGAGGTTTGGTGGATTTGTTTACTTTTAAAGTCCAAAATGGTCCTGAAGAAAGCAGCTTTTTAAAAGTAAACAAAATGCTAGCTTTTCAGCTAAACCCATTTGAGATCTACAAATGTCTTCTGAGACACTGAAGAGACACCAAGAGCCCCCCCAGCTGCAGCACAGAGGAGGCATCACAAGAAGAGCTACAGGAAACAAAAAGGGACACACGAGGAGATGTTGAAAGACTGGAGGAAGGGGCTGCAGGAGGAGCTGACAAGTGCAGGACACCACGCTCTGAAACGGGGACAAACCCAGGAGGTGGTGCACCGTTTCAGAGGATCAGAGGAGACAGAGGGCAGCCAGCCAGGTTTCCTCCAAATGCTACAGTTTCCCCGACCTCCAAGGTCATGCGGGTCAGGTCGACACAGTGGCAGCGCGGCTCAGCCGCAGCAGCTCAGGACAAACACCTGAACACTATTTCGTTGTGCACTTGTACAATGACAATAAAACACTTACTTAAACTTTACTAATATATTTATATAACAGCATTTATGGTATATTACTTACCAATGAGAGTACAACGGAGTGGACATGCCCATTCTTGCTGCCGTTTATAGAATGTGAGAAGTTCCCGTTCTCTGTCCTCATCAGAGTCCCTTACATCCATCTTCATTCTCAGTGGTTCCCCAGACGCATGTTCCCTTAGCAGACTCTCTTTGTAAACCTTGGCAGCTTGAGCTGGTTCTTTAATAAGCTTCCATTCTAGACAACAATGATAATAAAGTTTTCCATTACAGGGAGACTTGGAGTTGGTGTGTTACATGCAGATACAGATATCCACCCAGTCTACAGAAAAGGAGAACAGTTATGTCTATGCCACTGACAAATATGTGAAACATCGTTAGAAACTGTTAAAAAGCTGAGATAAAAAAGCAAAATAGAATTCTGAACAAAAAGTAAATATTTTCAACTGAACATACTGTAACCTAGTTGCATCTTATAATATGTGCGTAATTCTATCGTCTAATCATATGTTGTTTTTCTATTGACTGAGTTTATATTACACACAATTGTAGAGAAATTCTACTGTGATGACATAAACCTTTGTCTTTGTCCTCAGTGTTAATCACAGCTGATACAACTGCACTCTCAGCTGATGTTCCAGGCCTCACTGGAACACTGTCATTGACTGAGGCTGTCTCTCTATCATTTTCTTCACTTGGACCTGCCCCTTGATCTGTTACCGAGTCCTGCATGGGTGTCCTTGAAGTGAACAAATTAAAATGATCATAATCATACTCCCTTTATTGTGTGGTCAACACTTTAAGAGAGATACGTTTCAAAACAAAAAAAATATGCCATCCTTGCACTTCTGCATAAAGCACCTACCCATTGCAGCTCAGTCTGTGAACCTTCATTTCCGAAAAAGGAACTGCCTTTTCACAAGTGAGGCAGGGGATGTCTGGCCCGGAGGCATGATGTGAGCCCTCCTCCTAACAACAACAAATTGCTTTTAATTAATGATTAAAAATTAACAGTGAGTGTTGTTTAGATTATGTATTAAACTTGAGTCTCTGTAAATGTATGTACACACAATCTATGGGTAGATCCTGTTGAAGTGGACGTATGTAGATAGTAGCCTGTCCAATCATCGTTGATGGATCTTTTAGATAGGCAAGAGTGTATCCAGAGCTGGGACATGGAAGCAATGCAAGATTTCGACTGCGAGTAGATCCTGAAATCTTTAGAAGTTCAAAACCTCCTCCGTCTTGGAGCTTGGGAAATACTTCCATCAGTTTATTTGTTAACACCATGGGATCAGTGTCATTCCCTGTGAAAACAAAAAAATATATACATTACTCATAGCGACTCACTTGAAACTGAGCAAATGCCTGTAACATTATTCACACAATGAACATCAATTAAGCTAGAGTCATGAACATATTGTATATATAGGGCTTTAAAATGAAATGCGGAGTAAAATTGCAATCATTTCAACGAGCCACAGATAATGCTAATTTTTTTGTTTTTGGTAAATTAGTAGTTACATACATACTGACCTGTAATTGTTATTTTTTGCTCTCCAAGTCCTGAAGCAAGGAGGTCTGCTTTAAGAGTTGTGTTTGGAACTTTATCCGCTTTGTGTTCAGCCAAACAGCAGACTGTGTGTGTGTAGCTCTCGGCTGATTTGAACTGCTGGTCGTCTTGCCCTATTCCCTCTATTAGCTCCACCACCATTATATGGCGCAAAGAGCCTCGCTATCTCGGCTGTAACAGAGAAACATGTCACAGCTTCATCTTCTATCTGTGGTGTTTCTGCCAGCCAACACAATTTGCCGTGGATTAGATATCTAGCTTTATACTCCTACCCTTACATAGTCATCATAAGCAACCCATCAACCACAAATAAATGTTGATCCAATTAAATTACAACGTAGAAGCACAAGCGATATTTAGCTTACCTTGGACAGGTGTTCTAGAGGGTGTAGCAGGTATCTGAAGCGACTGAGCCGCCACCGGAGGCTGAGAAGTTCTGTTTAGAGCTTCTTCTATTAAATTTGCTGCCTCTCTCAGCAACTCGGGGGGACTTTTTGCCATTTTGCCCAGCAACGCGCACGTTAACACCGAAGCAACGAGAGCCAGCACATGGACCAGCGTGCTCGATTTTCTTCTTCTAATTCAAATGGCGGATAGCTACCAATCTAGGCGCATTTACCGCCACCTACCGGGCGGATGAGTGCTCTTTACGATTATTGAGAAACAGCGGAAACAGCAGATATTAATTTAAAGATGGAGTGATCGAGGCTTGTGTTTAGTTGTTTTTGCTTGAGTATTCAAACCTACGTAAGGGAGAATAGCGCCACCCAGCGTATCGGAGTATGTTCACTAGTCTGCATCAATCCATTATTCTGGAATTGATTTGCCTTGACTCGATGAGCAGGATGACCAATCAGGTGTTAGGACCCACCCCTCAAACTTTGATGGGCGAGTTTGACAGATAAAATTAATTCATGAAACACTGCAACACAGGACCATGAAATAATTAATTAAATAGATAAATAATTATATATTTTTTTTACACAGAATCATTGGTAATTTAATTAATTAATGACACATTTAATTAATTAATGACACATTTATTTAATTATTTAATGGTGCATTTATTTATTTAATTCCATATTTAATTAATTAATGAAACATTTAATTAATTAATGACACATGTATTTAATTATTTAATGGTGTATTTATTTATTTAATTGTGGCACTTTCAATCCTCCATACTCAGGAACCAGGAAAACAGACAAACACAGAGACAATACAATGGACCAGCAACAAAGGGAGAGGAGCACAGGGTACATACAGTATAGACACAGAGAGACAAAGGTGAAACAAATCAGGGTGGGGCAGACAATCAAGACAGGGGAAACAGGACAGGAAGTAAAACTAAAAACCAAACCACAGAACAGATGTCAAATTAAAACAAAAGAACAAAATCCACACCATGACAAATACACTCTAAACATAGCTCTGAAGTAATTACAGAACAGCTGTAATTTTAATTGCGCTCTTTAATTGTAAGAGCAAGATGCTTTCGCACCTTCCGAAGGCAACCTAATGCACCGGACTTCTCCAGTTTTGTATTCAGAAATTTAAAAGTAAATTGGTTTAATAGTTTTTTCTGGTCTTTCAGAATTTTACAATATTATTAGTACTTTTACAAACTATTGAAAATTGAGAAACCATATCGGGCCGGGCCGGGCTGGGGCGCCACCCCCTCGGGCCAGGGCCGGGCTCGGGCCCAGATAATAGGCCCGTGCAGGGCTCTACTGTAAAGCCCGCCACTGTGAATGTGGAAACACCGGTGACGAGCGGTGAGGCTGGTGAAGCACTGACTTCAGTCCAATCAGATGAACATATTTATCATATAAATCAAGTGGACAATTTGTTTGGCTACAGCAAAATATGTTTTATGCCCGCATTGTTTGTTCATACAAAACGCAAAACTATGAGTTATGGGTCTTACCTTATAAATGACCTGCACAGTCCACTTCGGTTCAGACCAGTTCCTTGTTTAAATCCAGTTAATGGTTTGAGCGTAGATATGTAATCCTCCATTTGGAAATGAGTCCAATGAGTTTTAAAAAGTAAAACAAAACGCGTGTGTCCTCCTTAAACTCCTGTGTTTTGCTAGCGGCCGCCGAGTGCATCCAATTTCTAAAATCAACCGTCTAACACTTCACCTCTCTTTCTTATCATTCCTATAGTAATTGAAAAATTACCCTATGTGCATTTTAGATTATGTAAAAATGTGTTATATGTATGTTAGCTAAACCTGTTGCTGTCCTTAGCAGATAAACCAGGAAGAGCAAGGAGCTTATCGATGGAATTGTATGCAGCCGACTTCTCTCTCTCTGTGGCTGACCTCACGGTGATACAAGCCGTGGTTGAGCGCGATTAAGACCCATATTTGTTTCAAAAACACAATTTATGACCATCCTCTCAACTGTAGACATGTAGATTGTAAAGGAAATATGTTTTACATCAGCCAATAATTGCTGAGAGGTTTTCTCATCCTCCCTTCTCTCATGACAACACGTTCATTGTGCGTCTTGAGTAACGCGCAGTAACGGGATGTCGGAAATGATAACGGCGTTATAGTTACTGTCAAAGTAATTAGTTAGATTACTCGTTACTGAAAAAAGTAACGCCGTTATTCCCATCACTGCTTATAAGTACCTTTCAGAATTTTGACTGTTGAGGATGGGTTGTCAAAGCTGCGTGAAGAAGCAATAGTTCATAAATACATTGTGTTTTTTTATTTGAAACGCGTATGAAACATAAATTATAGACGAGCGCTTAACAATGCACCTTTGTGTGGAGTAGGAAAGCGTTTTGTGGAAGTGCGGGACGACGCAGATACAAGAGCGAGCCAGCATGCAGAGAACATGACCTGCTGATGTGCGAGCTCCTCTCTTAGGTCAAAAAAGAGAGTGATGCGCAGCAAAAGGAGTGGCCGTGTGTCATGTTTGTCTGCGGGGGTTTTGGATGCGCACATGTGGATGTGTGCAGTAAATTTGTTGTTTTGTTACTTTGAAATATGCAGATATTCAATTATATATAAATAATCAATGAAGAATTAATTTTAAAAAATCTCAGTACCCCAATTTACATATCTGAGGGTACTACAAAAAAGTTGGGGTGATGCGCCACAATGATAGGATGTGACTAACTCGTTTAACCTACGTTCATGGACCCTCCCAGAATGAAGCAGGAGGAAGTGCGTTTTTCATCGTGTCAAATGTATTTGTTTCTGTGACAAAACCTCTAGATCCAGCGCTGTGTTAATGATAAACAGTTGCTTGTTGTTTCTGTGCATTCCTCCTTAATGTATTTTAACTCATTAAGTCGTTCACAAAAATCCACAATGAACAAGCCTGAGCTTTTGTTGCGTGCTGAGAAATAGAACCAGTGCCACACAGCTACCCTAACCTGGTCTCATATCCACCACCTGAAGCAGTGTCCTCAAGATCTCTTTCTTTCACAAAGCTCTTCCCCATTTGAAATAAAATCACACTGAGGTGCTGGTGCAACTCATCCGAGCACAGAAGCAGAGATGCTGCCCTCAAAATATAAAAAATATCTTTCTCATTAAGATTGACCTTTTAGGGGACATAATTGCACTAAAGTAAAATGTAAGACTTTTCAGGAACTTTTTGCAGAATTTGGTACATTAAAAAAGGCTGCAGTCCATTACGACTGTTCCGGAAGAAGCTTGAGAACAGCAAATGCTATACCCAATTTTTTTTTTTTTAAATGAGTTTCTAAAAATGCTTATTACTACATACAAGTTGTCTCATAATCCGTAATCTAATTAAAAACTTGAGCTCATTGATTCAGCTGTGTATGAATTCAGGCGGTAAAAAGTTCTGAGTTGAAACTTAGCGTGACGCCCGCTCTCCTCCACTCACAGATTGAGGCGCGAACAGACCGCGTCCTCTAGCCTCTACAGCGCTGGTAAACACAGTAGCATGTTAGCAGAATTTCCTATAACTCCTCTTGCTGTAACTGCATACACATGAAAAACAGCCCAAACGACACAACAGTGAGGAAGAGAAAATGGGAACTAAAGCAAAAAAAATTTCAAAGAAGAAATCAAGCCTGGGTGAACATAGCTAGCTTACATCGTATCCTCTGGAGAGACTTACAGTCTATGGGAGAGACCAGCAGGTGCGTACCGCCTCGGACTACATTCAGACCTGAAAGTAGCGGTAATCTTTCAGTTATATATTTTTTTGCTTTTGTACCATTTCATCAGTGATTGTTGTACATCTTACAAGAAGTTGCGCTCATGCTAATGTTTGCATATGTATAAGATCGCAAATAAATCTAGATTGTTCCTTGGCAGGAGAGCGTAGGGGAAATGAGAGACCTGTAAGCGATTTGAGGGGCGGTGCTAAACATTCAAACCTTGCAGAATCAGGTATAGCTCCTTTAAGTAAAATCTAATGCTAAGGAGGTTTATAAAAAGGTGATGGTAGAACAAGGAAGTATGAGGAAGGATGCATTTGTATGAATTCGAATGCAGCCAGATTCTCTGTGTGGTGTTCTCCGGCTCCTGCTCCGCCTACACCCCATTCACACCATGCTTCTAGCCACCACTAGTGCTTGACCCCGGGGGATCTGAGATCATCTCAGCAGCAGTGATCTCCCCTCTGAAAGTGTCCTGCCGGGGTCAATGCGCCAAACCATAAATCTAAATGCATTAACGTGTCTGTCTTGGTCTCTCCAGATTTAATTTTAATTTCTGTTTTTTAGGCTCCCTTCTACACAAGATACCTAATTAAATAAGAAGCCTGTGTGGTGAATGATTCATTATTTTTCAATAGTTTGCCTTTTAAGTTGTCATTAATTTTATAGTATACTGCGCTCCAGTCAGGCTGACATTCATAAGACATCACATGTGGCACTCAGATTACGTATGTAAGAGCTATAAAACATGTATGGCATTTATGACACTGATGAAAGCACACTGATTAATGATAAGCAGGAGATGTTTTGCACGTTCTGCATTTAATTTGTCTCTTCTACACATATACCAGGAATAAACCGTGACTGAACCAGGACTGACAATGGGGGACACTGTGCTTGTGAACATATGCTTCCAGCCTGAGTTCTCACTCCTCTGTGACTGTATACAAGTGCTTCTAACGTGTGTTAGCCAACACAACAAATGTATTTATTTAGGTTTGAAAACAAAAAAAACAATCAATAATTAACAATATCGGCCGATATGAATCACTTGTATTGTGATAACGTTTTCAGCCGTATCACCCAGCCCTATTTGAAATCATGGGGGAAGAAAGGGGAGTGAGGGACAGTAACCTGACGGGCGGCACGGTGGCTGAGTGGATAGCACTCTCGCCTCTCAGCAAGAAGGTTCTGGGTTCGAATCCCGGTCGGACCAGGGCCTTTCTGAGTGGACTTTGCATGTCTGCGTAGGTTTCCTCCGGGTACTCCGGTTTCCCCTACCACTAAAAATATGTACAATAGGTCTGACATGCGCCTCCTGTACTGGTGACCCCGCTCCCATCTCTGTA